GAGAACCAATGGAAAGGAGCCTGAGCTACTAGAACCTATTCCCTATGAATTCATGGCTTGATGGGTGTTAAAAATAAACTCATCTGTGGTCTATAAAAAAAAAAGAAAAGAAAAAAAAAGAAAAACAGTTTTGAAATGGTAAAACTTAAAGCCTGGAAACTGGTTAGTATTCTGTTCAAATAGTAGGTACATGAACCTATTGACAGCTCAAGATAGGACAAAAACTCTTAAAACCGGACAACAAAGCCTAGAAGAAAAGCAGCAGTATTTTAGTCAAAAGCCACAGAATGCTATTTCACCAGTTCAGTCTCATATACTTTATCTATCTTCTGTTGTGGTTCGATCTTCCCGATTGAATTCTGGGATATAATATTCAACTCCAGACTTGTCCCTGTGATTAAGTTGCCCATTTTCTTAGTTTTTGAACTCTTATTTCTGTGTGACTACATTTAATTTTCCTGACATAGCACTCCCTTCAGAACTTCTTGGAGCTCTGGTCTGGTGCTAGTAAATTCTTTCAGGTTTTGTTTATCTGAGAATGTTCTTGTCTTTTCTTCCCATACGAAGGATAATCTTGCCGGGTACAATATTCTCGGTTGAAATTGCTTTTCCCTTAACACTTTGAATATATTTTCCCATTCTTCCCTTGCTTGTGTTGTTCGCGATGAGAGGTCCAATGTTAGCCTTATGAGATATCCTTTGAAAGTAACTTGACATGTCTCTCTTGCCAATTTGAGTTCTTGTCTCTGTCTGTTTTTGGTCAATCTGCTATAATGTGCCTTGGGGAAGATCTTGGGTTGATTCTCTGTGGGGTCCTTTGTATTTCTTGGGTCTGGATATTTGAGTGCCTCTCTAGGTTTGGAAAGTTTTCTTCCAGGATTTCATGGAATAGATTATCAATGTCCTTTAGTTTCTTCATCTTCTGGGGTACCGATGATCGTATGTTTCAGCATTTAATGTTATCTAATATTACTCATATGTTATTCTCATTTTGGGAGGTTATTTTCTTAGTCTTTTTGGTGAATTTCTCTAGGTCTGAGGTTCTGTCTCCTACATCTGAAATTCTGTATTCTACATGATCTAATCGGTTTTGATATTTTCAGCATAAGTTTTGATTTCCTGTATTACAGCCTTCATCGTTAACAATTCCACTTGATTCTTTTATATGATGTGCATTTCCTCTTTCATATCATGCAAGAACTTCCTCACCTCCTAGAACTCGGTGTCTCTTTTCTCCTGCATCTTGTGGAGTTCATTGTCTCTATTCTCTTGCATCTCAGTTAGCTTTGTCACTATGAATATGTTAAATTCTTTATCTGACATTCCCATGAGTTCTCTTGTATTCTTTGTGGAGAAAGAGGAATTACTCTTTTCCATTAGAGAAGAGATATTTTCTTGGTTTCTCATATTTATTGTGCCTCTGTGGTGGTTTCTGGTCATTTGATGGATTATACATTTTTTCCTGTTTTTTGGAGTTATATCTGAACAATCAGAGGAATGCAGAAGGAGGTGACTTGCAGTCTGGCTTCTGGCTAGACTGGGGAGCAGATGGGTGAAGTCTAGGTAGAGGGTCTTCGGTGGTCAAGGTCCCTGAATGGGGCCACTCAGAACTCAAATATAGATGGCTGCTGATTGGCTTATCCTGGCTCCTGGCTAGATTGGGGAGCCAGGAGGGTGACGTCTGGGCAGAGGGTCTTCGGTGATCAAAATCCAAGCTTCCTTTGCTTTTTTAACATGGTTTCCTTTTGTTCTTTGAGCATGTCTATAATGGCTCTTTGAGGACTTTTATTTCAATGCCGAGGACTCTGAAAGGCATTTTCTTTTGTCTGCCTTTTTTTGTATACTGGCCACACTTTCCTGTTTGTCTGATGTCTTGTAATTTTTATTTTTATTTTTATTTTTTAGCCTCAAGGCATATATACTTGCCAGAGCATCACAGAGAAGGAGAGGGAGTAATCACCCCTGAGGACGAATGGCCATGCCACAGTCTCTTCTCTTCCATTCTTCTTTGGGGATTTTTGGCACATATGTACCTGTACTCAGCATTATTTTCAAGGCACCAGGTCTGGAGCTCAAACCTTAGTTGGCTATGTGAGAATCCAGTGCTTTAACCACTGTGCCATCTTTTGGCCCCTGTCTTGTAATTTTTTTTGTCAGAACTAGACATTTTAGATAATATATTGTAGCAACCGTGGATACTGATTCATCTCTATCCTTGGGCCTTGTTTTTATTGTTTCGTGTTGCTTTGTTTAGTGATTTGGCTAAACTACCTTAATGAAGTGTATCTTCCTATACTTTATGAAGCCTTTGTCACTCCTCAAGGAGCCCAGACTTAGATGTGACCATAAGTCATCTTGGAATAATCTCTTGGTCTCTTCCCCTGATTTCCATGTATAACTCTCTGCCTCTCTTGGCATCACACTCACTTTTTAGGCTCCACTGGGTAGTAGCTCATAGCTCTGTTGTTTTCAGCAATGCCACCAGGTGCGTATTTTTCTTTCCCTTTTTTTTTTTTTTTTTTTAAGAATTATCTGTTCAATTTTATTATTTTTTAATTTTACGGGGGAAAGGGAAAGTGAAAAAGCAAGCCACCAGGTTTGGGACTCAAACCATAGTCAGACATGTAGGAGTCCAATGCCTTAACCACCCACCATGCAACCTGCCAACCCTGGAGCAGATATTTTTCCACAGCCTGATCCAGTTACGTTTGGGCAGGTGTGAAGTTTAAGGTCAGTCTAGGGTTTGTTCAGAATCCCTTTGCTATTTATTTCTCTGGCTCTTTCTGATGAACTAATTGACTACTGTTTAGTTTGTTTCTCTTAATTAAGAGGAGCTATTTCTGTTTTGATTGCCAGAGGTCTCATGTAGTCCAGAGAGAGAAAAAGCACTCTCCAGTGTAATGTGGTCACAACAGAGTCCCTTCTTCATTTTGTTGGGATTCGTTGCAAGTGCACACATGAGCCTGGCATGTTTTTATTTTTTTAAAGAATTATTTAATTATTATTTTAAGCTGCTATAGGGTATATGGGCTCAAGAGAGAGAGGGAGAGAAAGCAAGCTGCCAGGTCTAGGACTTGAACCCCAGTTGGCCATGTGAGACTCCAGCACCTCAACCACCGTGTTGCGTGTTGGCTCCCTGCATGTTTTTCAAGCTTCTGTGTCTGAGATTGGAATTACGTGGTTTGCCATGTGGTATCCAGCTTTCTTTATTTTTTTAAGGGAGATTTTTGCTGTAGGGTGTGTGCTCACTAGATTCACAGAGACAAAGAAAGTGAGAAATCAGTCCCCAGGGGTGGAGGGGATGGCTACATCTCAGTTCCTTCTCCTTCCAGGACCCTGGGTACACACACATATGCACTTGGTATGAGTCTCAAGCCACTGGGTCCAAGACTAGAACCAGTTAGTCATGTGGGCGACCAGCTCTTTTATTTATTTATTTATTTATTTATATAATAGACATTTATTTAAAGTCATACACCAGCAGACCAAATTATTTTTAAATTAAATTTTTCAGGTTTGACCCCAACTTCATAAAAATACTTTTAGAACAACCGCATCTACAATTGCAACCTAGTTACTTCTTTGCCGTCTCTCCTCTCTCTTTTCTTTCCCGAATAACCTCTTTCAGATAGAGTTCAATGTAGAAATTATCCTCGTATTTTGTCCATTGCTCTTTAGGCAAGGTCCGCTGCCTCATGGTCATGTCCAGAGCTCTCTTAATGCAAAACATCCTGTCATTATAAAGGTTCTCAGGAAGTCTTCTTATGACTTCCTTCACATCTTCATTCTCATATATCGTATCATCTCGCATTAACCCCA